CAAGTTGAACTCACCTATTTTCAGCTCAACCCGTGGTGAGTCAACCCGTGTGAACCGGATTGACTCACTTTGACACCCCTAGTTGTTGTATCAATAGACCATCAAATATTTGTGAGCTTGTTTATATGAATATTTAAGGACCCTTTTCTAAAACTTTCATACATGGTCACAAACATTTTCTAATCATTCTTGATAATTTTAGTCATTACACATGGATTATTTTATTAAAATTGAAGGGAGCAATCAAGTCGCATGTGAAAAATTTTATACATCTTGTTCAAAATTAGTTTGAATTAAAGGTTAAGAATATTCATTCTAACAACTAACCAAAATTTTATTAAGGAAATTTCTAGCACCAAAGGATATTTTACATCAAACAAAGTGTGTTAAGATCCCAACAAAATGACAGGATTGAAAGAAAACATTAACACATACTCAATGTGGCAAGAAGCCTCATGTTTCAATCTCATATTCTTTGTGATTTATGGTCTTATCTCATTAAACATGTTATTTACTTCATTAATCGTGTTCCATCACCAATCAATTGGAATAAAAGTCTCTTTAAACTTTTATATAATTAAGTCCCAAATTTTCAAGAACCTAAGATTTTTGGTTTGTTTAATTTATGTACAAACAAATATTGTAAATCTTCATAAATTTGATAATGATCTAGGCGTGAGATTTTCTTAGGTTTTCAAAATGACACAAAGGGTTACATTGTTCTAGACTTATATATAAAAGATATTTTTGTTTCCAAACAGGTAATTTTTATTGAATCTAATTTGCTTTTTCAAGATAAAACACACCACCTAAAAAGTCTTTTTTCAAATATTCAAACTAAAGATTTTTCTAGTTGATCTCTCATTAGTAAGTCCATTGACTTGCACTACTAAAATATTAATTTTTTTTTGGAAATTTTTCTATAAAAAATTATTTAAATTTGTAGGAAACTTATTTCTTGTAATTTTTATAAAAAATTACAAAAATAGTCATAAAATACAAGAATTTCTAGTTATGGTGTCACTTATACCACCTCAATTATATCCAAGTGAGCTTATTCATCAACACTTATTTGTCCAACCTATTAATGAACCAATCTTAATTAGTGAGTCCACTTAATTGCCATTGACACCACCTTAGTTGCATCTTAGTGAACTCATTTGTCCAACCTACCAATGAATCAATCTCTGACTTGCCTTCATCTATCCCATCTAATAATCTTCCTCAATTATCATTCCATCGTTTAACTAGGATAAATAAGCCATTTGTTCACCTTTTTTATTATCGTTGTAGTTTTATTACCCGATCATCAATAAAATATGTTTGTATCCTCTTAGTTTTCTTATGTCATGTTCTCATGTTTCTTCCTCACATCATCATTATCTAATGGTTTTTTCATTTGAATATGAGCCAATGAGCTATCAAAAGGCTCTTCAACATGAATGTTGGCATGAGACAATGCAATCTGAGATGGAGGTGCTCAAATTGAACAAAACCTAGAATATTATGGATACAACCCTAAACATTCGTCTCACTGGATGCAAATGAGTTTACAAAATTAAGAAGAACCTTATTGGGAGTGCAAAATGATACAAAGTTCGATTGGTTGCAAAAGAATATACTTAAACAAAGGGAATTAATTATCTTGAAACTTTTACATTTGTGGTTAAGCTAGCTACCATACTAATCATTCTTGTTGTGGTTTTTGTTAAACAATAACATCTTTATCAATTATATGTAAGTAATGTGTTTTTTCATGGAGATTTGAACAAAGAGGTGTACATGACTTCTCTTTCTGGTATTGACAACATTAAACCTTCTCAATGTTGCAAGTTTCTGAAGTCTATATATGGATTGAAGCAAACAAGTTGTTCTTGGTATGAGAAACTATCAATACTGCTTTTATCTTATGGATATTGTCAAACTCACTTAGATCATAGTCTCTTTATCAGGATAAAGGGAAGTATTTTTATAACCTTAGTGGTGTATGTCAATGACATTAAAGAAACTTCAAATATAAAGCAAATTATTCATTCACATTTTTGAATTAAAGATCTTAGGGTATTAAAATACTTCCTTGGGTTGAGGGTAGCTCACTCATCCAAAGGTATCTCATTGTGTCAGAGAAAATATTATCTTGAATTATTGCATGATTTTTGTTTATTAGATTCAAAACAAACATCTACACCTATGAATATTTCTCTTTATCTTAGTCAATATTTTTGGAGAAGAGCTTTTAGACCTTATACTTTATAAACGTTTGGTGGGTCGTTTGATTTATCTTACTAATACGCGTCCATATATTGTCTATACTACTTAATAATTGAGTTAGTTTATGTCAAGATCCATTCAAATCCATTTTAAGATTGTCACCAAATTGTTTTAATATTTAAAGAGTTATCCTGTAAAGGTCTATTTTTCAACAGGGATTCAATAATTCAAGTCCAAGGGTTCAGCGATGCAAATTGGTATACTTGTAAATTCTTATAAATCTATTACAATATATTAGTTCTTTATAAGAAAGTCTTTGGTTGCTTGGATGAGCAAAAAACAAGATATGTTTCAAAATCATCATCAAAGGTAGAGTATAGAGTGTACTGCTTCTACTAATTCGAAGATCACTTATTTATTGCAAGATCTTCATGTTTCTTGTAAGCAATAATAAGTTTTGTTTTGTGATAATAAAATTGCATTGCACAGCTGTTAATATAATTTTTTCATTATAATTTTTTTATGAACAAATTATATATCTTGATATTGACTGTCATATCGTCATAAAAAAAAATCTTAGAATGATCTAATGTATCTTCTTCATATATCTTTTTCTAATCAATTGGTTGACACATTTATCAAAGCCTTATCTACAACACTATTTAAAGTTAATATATCCAAATTAAAATTCATTGATATTTTTAGACCTTCAACTTGTGAAATGGTACATATTAGAAAATAATAACAATTGTACATAATTGCATATTGACCCAAATAATAAAGTTCAATTTTCTTTATTAGAAACTAATATATTAAATTCTAGAGTTTTTTGAATTGATATATATATATATATATATATATATTATTATTATTATTATTATTATTATTATTATTATTATTATTATTATTATTATTATAACCCTAAACAAGAAACTTTGTAATATATATTTGAGATGTCTTGTTTTATTATTACTTTATTGTTTTGTAGTCAAATTTAGAATTGTCTTTCACCCCAAATAATTTAATTTTTTTGTTATGTTATGGTATTAGAGTTCTATTTGGAGCTTTGCTAATATTTTAGTCTCACCATATTTGAAAATAGGGTCACTCTCGATCAAAACCCGTCAAGTGCCTACTACGTACATTCACTCGAGTAAAAGTCTCTTCTTAATTGTTGTAACATTAGTTATCATTAGATAATAAGTGTCACATTGTTATGTTTAAAGTGAATGTTTAAAATTATTTTAAAAATCTCAAAATTGATTATATCATTTTGTGGGAGATAGATTTTTTTTTAACTTTATTTACTTTTTAAACTATCTTTTATCATAAAGATAATCTTATTAAAATAATTAATATTATTTACACATTAAATAAGTATTAATTAAAGTATGGTGCTAGAGGGGTTCTTGGTGTCGACAATGTTCCATTTGTATCATCATATCCCTTCAAATACCAACTAGTCAAAAGTAATTGACACATAAACAAATGTTTAAAAAGTTTATGAAATAATAAAATCACAATTTTAATATCTATTTGTGACGATATGTGTATAAAAGGAAATGATGGATAATGAAATAAAAAATGAAAAGCTAGATATACTGCATAAATATCATATGAAAAATAAAATAAAATAAAATGTGTTTGGAATTCTTTAATTAACTGCAATTGACGAGACATCAAAGAAAAACAGAGGAACGTAATTTGACAGTAATAAAAAAAGTTGGATAGTTTGAAAACACAAAGATTTACATTATGCATAATTTGGAATTATTTCATTGCACCGTATTAAATGGTAAGTGAACTACTTTGCGTTAAAAATAGGATGAAAAAACAAGTTATTTAAGTTTCATGGGTCGATCTGACATGTGACATGGGAACGGATTAGTATTTTTAGTCTATCAATTCATTTCAGTGACTTATCCCATCAAGTCTGTGAGATGGATGAGTATGTGACCCGTTTTATTAATAATTTTTTTAATATAATATAATATAAAGAGTTAGAAAGAAACTATATAATATAAAGATTTATAATATTTTTTTTAAATATCCGTATTTAAAAAAAAGAATTCATAAAGTCTCATTATTTTATGTTTTATAATTGTTTAAATTGACCGTAAATATTTTTCTTTCTCAATAATAAATCCCCTTCTCTTCTATTCTTTATCGTCATATTCTTTTTATTCATATTTTTTTTATAAAGTAAAAATTATATATATTTTATATTTTTTTATTCTTTTTGTTACAAAATTTGATTTAAAAATAATAGAATAAAAATACGAGGAACCAACTCACCCCCCAACCTACTCTTTTTGATACCTATAGTCCGTAATGGGTAACTCGTCTTACCTCAGTTTTGATGAACAAAAATGGGGGACCAAATTATGACGGACTTGTTTTTTCATGCTAATTAAAAATGAGATAAACATCTGTCACACTTATTACAAATTAAAACCAAGCACATGTTTTCATTTAATATTTTTCTCTCAACTACCTGTTTCCACGAAAAAAAAAGTGAAAAATAATAATAATAAATGTTATGTGATTGAAAATAAATGAATAAAGAATACATATGTTTTATTAACTTTACACGTATTTTTAAAGAGTATATCTTCTCCAGCCCCCACCCCCCACAACTACAATCTTGCTGTAGGTCTTTCCGACATTAACTATTTCATCCACCACTTTTGAGTTGCTACGAAGTAGTCATTACATTTTCAAGATTTTTAGTGCGATTTTGTCTAATTTTTTCCTGTAAGGTGAAGTTTATCCTAATGACAGAAACAACCATGTCCGTCGCAGCTTCAACATGGATAACATCCCTCTCGTGTACATTCCCTGTGAAGCAAACCTCAGGGGACACGTTTATCTCAACAATGCTGCAATGCCTGAGATTTCTCTTCCTCTCGCCATGTCCTCAAAGAGCTATATTATCTTTCCTGGATGTCATGCTCCTCTTGTTTCTCTTCGTGTTTGCTGTCACCAAGCTCTGGAAAAGGTTCACCTCCGGTGCCGGTTTCGCCACTCACCTCAATGAGCCACTCGTCAGAAGTAACCGATGCATTTTCTTAACAACTATTCGCTTCAAGCTATCCTTAACCGCAGAGGTTGTTTTAACTATACTTTACACGGTTGCTAGCGTTCTTGCGTTTAGCAGTTCCTCCAAGGTGCCCTGGAAACAAGTTGACGACGCATTTTGGTTAGTCCAGGCCATAACGCATGTGGTGCTTGTAGTCTTAATCATCCATGAGAAAATATTTGAAGCCGTTACCCACCCTCTTACAGTTCGAGTTTATTGGATCGTGAATTTCTTTGTCACTTCGTTGTTCACAGTTTCTGCGGTTATGCGTTTGGTCACCGTGTACGTGAGTGAAAGAAACGACTTCATTGTGGATGACGTGGTCTTTTTCATTTCACTTCCTCTGTCGTTATTTCTTCTTTTTGCTGCGGTTAAAGGGACCACCGGCATTGTTTTGTCGACAGAAGAAATTCAAAAACCTTTTTTCGAGGAAACCAAATTGTATGATGGGAGTGAGAGAAAATCTGAGGTTACTGGCTTCGCTTCAGCTTCTATATTATCTAAGGCTTTTTTGACTTGGATTAATCCCTTGTTGCGTAAAGGGTACAAGTCCGCACTGAAGACTGATGATGTTCCAACGCTTTCTCCACAGCATAGAGCTGAGAGAATGTCGTCTATTTTTGAATCAAAATGGCCTCAACCAAACGACACATCAAAGCATCCGGTTAGAATGACTTTGCTTCGGTGCTTTTGGAAGGAGATAGCCTTCACTGCCTTCCTTGCATTCATTAGGCTCTGTGTCATGTTTGTCGGGCCAGTTCTAATACAAAGTTTTGTTGATTTCACATCAGGGAAGAGAAGGTCTGAATATGAAGGATACTACCTCGTGTCGATTCTTCTCATTGCTAAGTTCATTGAAGTCATGGCTTCTCATCATGTCAACTTCCAATCTCAGAAGCTTGGGACGCTTATACGGAGCACTCTTATCCCCGCTTTGTATGAGAAGGGGTTAAAACTATCATTCTCCGCTCGGCAAGATCATGGGTTGGGAACCATTGTGAATTACATAGCTGTTGATACCCAGCAACTCTCTGACATGATGCTTCGGCTAAATACTGCGTGGATGGTGCCACTTCAGGTTGTCATTGGCTTGTTTCTGCTTTACAATTGTCTTGGTGCTTCAGTGATCACCGCGTTTCTTGGTCTTCTTGGTGTTTTTGTGTTTGCTGTGATTGGTACTCGTAGGAACAATCGCTTTCAATATAATGTTATGAGGAACCGTGACTCAAGAATGAAAGCTGTGAATGAGACACTTAATTACATGCGCGTGATCAAGTTTCAGGCCTGGGAGGAACATTTCAGCCAGAGAATTATGGGATTCCGTGAGACTGAGTTTGGGTGGCTCTCCAAGTTTATGTTCACTACATGTGCCAATATGGTTTTGATGTGGAGCGCGCCCTTGTTGATATCAACTCTCACGTTTGGTACGGCTATTTTGCTGGGAGTTCAACTTGATGCTACAACGGTCTTCACAACGACAGCCGTGTTCAAGATATTGCAGGAGCCTATTACAACATTCCCACAGTCTATGATATCTCTCTCACAAGCATTGATATCACTGGAGAGGATAGATAAGTTCATGTTGAGCAGGGAATTGTTGGATGATTCAATTGAGAGAAAAGAAGGATGTGGTGGACAAACAGCAGTGGAAATCGCAGATGGGACTTTTAGTTGGGATGATGGTAACACGCAGCAGGACTTGAAAGATATTAATTTGGAGATAAAAAAGGGGAATGTTTCGGCTATTGTTGGGACTGTAGGATCAGGAAAGTCCTCTCTCCTCGCATCCATTCTTGGAGAGCTGCGTAAGATTTCTGGAAAGGTATGATTTTCTGCTTCAGAATTCAGAAATATATATATTTTTTTATTTAAATGTTTATAGTTGAGTCTGATTATAGTAATAATATATTTCTGTGGAAGGTTCGGGTTTGTGGGAGTGTTGCTTATGTTGCACAAACATCTTGGATTCAAAATGGGACCATTGAAGAAAACATTCTCTTTGGTTTACCTATGGACAGACAGAGGTACAATGAAGCTATCAGGGTGTGTTGTTTGGAGAAAGATTTGGAAATGATGGATTATGGGGATCAGACAGAAATTGGAGAGCGTGGTATCAACCTGAGTGGAGGCCAGAAGCAGCGTATACAACTTGCCAGGGCTGTGTATCAAGACTGTGATGTATATCTTCTTGATGATGTCTTCAGTGCTGTTGATGCTCATACTGGTTCTGAAATATTTAAGGTCGCTATTCTCAAAGTTGAAGTGTTCTACTTCGCATTATTTTCAACTTTAATTTTACCCATTCTGTGCTAGTTTGTTGAGTGAAGATTTCATGTAATCTTCATCGAATTGTTGCATAAGTGGGTTTAAGTCATAACCTAGTCAAGACTCAAATGTCTATTTATGGGATGATGGAATTCATTCGACACCATAAACTAATGTTTATTCACGTAAATAATTTCTGTTCGTTAGATACCAAATATGTGACTTTTAATGTTTATCATATGCCTTTTATACAGGAATGTGTGAGGGGAGCTCTGAAAGGCAAGACCACTCTTCTTGTAACGCACCAAGTAGATTTCTTACATAACGTGGATCAAATATTTGTAAGTCTGTTTTGCTCATGCTGTTATGCTTCGTCCTTTGTAATCTTCAACTTAATTAGATTGTTACTCAAAAACTTGTGTATGTGCTTGATAAAGGTGATGAGGGACGGTATGATAATCCAATCAGGAAAGTACGATAATTTAGTAGAATCTGGAATGGATTTTAAAGCTCTGGTGGTTGCACATGAGACCTCCATGGAACTGGTAGAGCAGAGTGTGGTCATGCCTGCTGAAAATTTCAACAAGCCAACGAAATCTCCAGAGGTGGCTTCTATTTACAAGGGATCCAATGGTGAAAGCAATTCTCTTGAGCAGGCCAGATCTAGCAACAAAAGTTCTAAACTCATCAAAGAAGAGGAAAAAGAAATCGGCAAATTGAGCTTACATATCTATAAACTCTACTTCACTGAGGCTTTTGGGTGGTGGGGTATTGCATTAGTATTGGTTCTTTCTTTGTTATGGCAAGGGTCTTTGATGGCAAGTGATTATTGGCTGGCGTATGAAACTTCAGAAGAAAGTGGAATAGTTAACCCTTCTATGTTCATCTCCATCTATGCAATTATTGCCGCTGTTTCGCTTATCTTGGTAGTGATGAGATGTTACTTCTTTACAATCTTGGGTTTAAAGACTGCACAAATTTTCTTCGCACAAATTCTTCGTAGTATCTTGCATGCGCCAATGTCTTTCTTTGACACTACTCCCTCTGGAAGAATTCTAAGCAGGGTAAGAACTTTAGTGCCGCCAAGTATGTTGAGTTAATCATTAAATACGTGCAAGATTCTAATACTTCATAATATAAAATTTATATTTAATATGTTAATCACACACTTATAATGACTTTTTTTTTTCCTCAACTTCTACAGGCATCCTCTGATCAGGCCAATGTTGATGTCCTTCTTCCCTTGTTCACGGGAATTGTTATTTCCATGTACATTACAGTGATCAGCATATTTATTGTCACCTGTCAAAATTCATGGCCAACAGTGTTTTTGATATTCCCTCTTATTTTGTTGAATATGTGGTATCGGGTATGAATTTTATTACCTGATTGTCAAATGCTCTGCCTTTGATTGCCAATTTGTAGAACCCGAAAATATGTTTCATCTAGTCACGTGAATAAATGTATCTATATACTATAACTTCTAATACTATTTGCAGTGTTTTCTGTTCAATATGCAAGTAATTTGAATGGCTGGTTTCATAATACAGAGAACAATATTTGCTACAATCACTTGTTTGACGTTTTATATCCATATTAAATACTAATCAGAATGTAATTTGTTCACAATTTAATTTTCGTTACATACTTTTGTTAACAAATTGTGTTTTCTGTATCTTTTATGGACTTCCAGGATTACTATCTTGCATCATCTCGTGAATTAACTCGTTTGGATTCAATTACCAAAGCACCAGTTCTTCATCACTTCTCTGAAAGCATTGCAGGGGTCATGACAATTCGTGCATTTAGACGGCAAAAGAATTTTTGTCGAGAAAATCTCAAACGGGTGAATGATAATTTGCGTATGGATTTTCACAACTATAGCTCCAATGTGTGGTTGGGAATACGCTTAGAGTTGCTTGGAAGCTTTGTCTTTTGTATTTCTTCCATGTTCATGATCATCTTACCCAGTAGTATCATAAAGCCAGGTAAATTGATTCAGGAAATCTAAATATCTATTGAAATTAGTTATGCAATATTGTCACTACAGTAGTGCTTCTTTAAATTAATCACCTTGTTCATGTAGAAAATGTCGGCTTATCCCTCTCTTATGGGTTGTCCTTAAATTCTTTCTTGTTTTGGGCAATATACTTGAGTTGTTTCATCGAAAACAAGATGGTGTCTGTTGAGAGGATAAAGCAGTTTATAAATATTCCTTCGGAACCAGCATGGAATATCAAGGATCATCTACCTCCTTCAAATTGGCCAAGTCAAGGAAATGTAGATATAAAAGACTTGCAGGTAGGTTGAGTATGAATATATTGATTGTGTTTTACATTTGAAAGAACCTTTGTATTTGCGAAATAATTCATTGGTTTCTATTGGTTTAAGATACTAATAGAGCACCATTTCCAATTTTGAGCTTTCCATTAGTGCAAACTGATATGATGACTTGAGCTTCTAATGAACAGGTCAGATATCGTCCAAACACTCCTCTGGTTCTGAAAGGAATTACTTTAAGCATTAGTGGAGGTGAAAAAGTTGGTGTTGTGGGTCGAACTGGTAGCGGAAAGTCAACTTTAATTCAAGTATTCTTTAGGCTGGTGGAACCTTCGGAAGGAAAAATAATAATTGACGGTGTTGACATATCCTTCTTGGGACTTCACGATCTTAGATCACGGTTTGGTATCATTCCTCAAGAACCAGTGCTTTTTGAAGGAACTGTGAGAAGCAACATTGATCCAATTGGAGAATATACAGATGAAGAAATATGGAAGGTAAGAAATGGGTCAATTGAAATCCATCTACTTTCCTGATGATGGTTTTGAATCCAATATCTAAAAACTTGTTATTGTTGTAGAGCTTGGAACGTTGTCAACTAAAAGATGTTATTGCCGCCAAGCCTGAAAAACTAGAGTCTTTAGGTAGATACCTCAACCATATTTCTCTGAGTTGTTTGTGTTTAATTGTTTTAGTAATGGGGATGTTGTTTAAACTTTGAAGTGGTGGATAATGGAGAGAACTGGAGTGTGGGACAGAGACAGTTACTTTGTCTAGGGAGGGTTATACTTAAGAAAAGCCGACTTTTGTTCATGGATGAGGCAACAGCTTCTGTTGATTCTCAAACTGATGGTGTGATTCAGAAGATCATAAGAGAGGAGTTTGCATTATGCACCATCATCAGCATTGCTCACAGAATACCCACAGTCATGGACTGTGACAGAGTTTTAGTTGTTGATGCAGGTATCTATCATATTCTCTTTGCATTCTATTGCTCACTGGATCATCCTTATCCTTTCACCATTGTAGCCTAAATAATGTTGTTGTTTTGCTTGTAATAGGGCGAGCGAAAGAATATGATAAGCCTTCAAATTTGCTTAAGAAGAAATCTCTCTTTGGGGCATTAGTTGAAGAATATGCCAACCGCTCCAGTGGACTATAAGAAATTAAGAATCTCTCGTGCTCCTCCACACACATTTGTCTTGGTCTTTTAGCCAAATATCCTTCTCAGTTAAAAAAAAAGGCCTGGCATTGCCAAATTATATCACAGTATATATTGAAAGTGTTGGACGAGACTCTATGCTTTGGGTGCTGGTTTGTGTGCTGCATTGTGTGTTGCATTGAGTGAAATTCAAAGATTTTTTGTCCATTTTTTGTGAATACAGTTGAAGTAAAGTCACTTTTGTGGAAGTCAAAACAAGGGAGCTATTTGTGAACTATTTGTTGGCTATTGAAAGAAAATAGTCACAGTTTTACGGTGGCATTAAATGCCAAGCAAAAAAAGAGAAGTCCCTTCTTCTCTATAAATAGTGGCTTCCTCCTATGCTTTGAAAACACATCCTAGCAAGAGTGACTAAATCAGAGAGAATATAAAGTTTCTCCTGTGAGGTTCTTCTAACAAGTTATTTCTCCTATTTTATGAAGAGAGAGAGAAATTGTTCTTTCTTTCTAATTTAGAGAGAAATTGTAATCTTTCTTTCACATAGTAAAAATCTTTCTCTGGTCTTATCCATAATTATTTCTTTATCTATTGAGAGTTTTTCACGTAAAATATTGAGTGTCAATTCCTAATTTTCTCATATATATATTTTAGCTGAAAAATATTATTTCGCTACTTTGAAACCTAACAGTGGTATGAGAGCCACTAGGTGTTAGAAAAGTAGTTTTAGATCAAGAGGGGGGGTGAATTGATCTTTGAAAGTTTTTCGCGAATAACAGATTATCTAATTCGAAAATTAAGTTTACTAATCTATTCTTGCATCACAAAGCAATCAATCAAAATAAGCGCATCAACTGAATTTAAAGAGAGAAAGGTTAAGAAAGATTTCACCGGTAATTTATACTGGTTCACCCAATACCAGGGCTACGTCCAGTCTCCAGCCAAATTCCAGCTGGGTTCCACTAGATTAAATGTTTTACAGATTCAACAATCTTACACCTAATCTAACACAAGAACCAAATTCCAGTTCCTGCACTTAACCTCTCCACCAAGAACCAAATTCCAACTCTTGATAACCTCTACAACCAAATTCCAGTTGCAGAGAAACCAAGTGCCCAAATTCCGGGCACCAAACCTTTCACCAAGAACCAAATTCCAGTTCTTGATAACCTCTACAACCAAATTCCGAGCTTGCAGAGAAACCAAGTGCCCAAATTCCAGGCACCAAACCTTTCACCAAGAACCAAATTCCAGTTCTTGATAACCTCTACAACCAAATTCCAGTTGCAGAGAAACCAGTGCCCAAATTCCAGGCACCAAACCTTTCACCAAGAACCAAATTCCAGTTCTTGATAACCTCCACAACCAACTTCCAGCTGCAGAAAAACTTGTGCCCAAATTCCAGGCACAACACAATACAAAAGAATGAAAAAGAATTTACAAAGAAGAAACTAGAAAGCTCAAACCAGTTTATCCAAATCTGCAGAGAGTTTCTTCTTCAAAAGAATGCAAGTTGCCTCAAGAAAGATTTTCAAAATAACTTCAAAAAATTGTTGCGAATCTTTCTTGAAAAAGTTCTAAGGTTTGCTTGAATGATTGCTTAAGGATGTGTAAAAACTGATATTCAAAGTATGTTTTAAAAAGTTCAAGCAACTCTGTTTTTAAAGAGTAATTTCAAAAACTGCTGCATTAATTAATCTGTTGAAAGTTTGTTTTAATCTGTTGAAATAGCCGTTTCAATCTGTTAAAAGTCCTTTCAATCCATTAATGCGTTCTTGATTCTTTAACAGATTTGTTTTAGCTGATACGATAATGTTTATATCAGTTAAAACATTTTACAAAACTTTTCTAAGTTTGATTCAATCGATTGTTTTGTGTTTTAATCGATTGATATACTGCAAAACCTTCTTATAAAACTTTTCAAGTTGTTTTAACTGATAAAAAGAAGTTTTAATCGATTAAATCTCTGTACAAAATTTTTCTAAGTTGTTTTAATCGGTTGAAAAGCGTTTTAATCGATTGAAACAGATCTGATCGGTCATAATTCAATTCTGATCGATCATAAACAACTCTGATCGGTCATAACTGCATTCTGATCGATCATTCTGACCCTTTAAGTGATTTTAATCGATTGAAACGTGTTTTAATCGATTTAAATAAGTTCTGATCGCTTATATTTCAAATTTGATCGGTCATGATGGGTTCTAAAGGGTTTTAATCGATTAAAAGCAATTTGTATCGATTAAAATATTGTAAAAACACTTCTTTGAACATTCTAAGTGATTTTAATCGGTTCTTTCAAAACTATATCAGTTAAAAACATTATTAAGAAAGCTTTTGTCAAAATGCTTTGTTTTTAATTGTTTAAAACGATTTTAGAGGCATTTTGCAAAATCATTTAAGTGAAGAAACTTCATGCAGCAGAAAAGATAAAGTGGTTTTACCTAAGCATTCTGTTAGACACACTAATCTTCTAACTCTTTTATCTGAGTAACTTGTTGACTGCTGCAAAGTTGACTTTTGACTTCATCTTTGACTTCATCAAATCAATGAGATCTTTGTCAAAGTATTTCACTAAGATCTTCATCACTTTCACTAGGTTCTGATATTATTCCACTGCTATAGTTACTAGAATAATGTTGGAGAAAATTCTTAATATGCTCTGTGGTTGTAGTTAATCTGATCTTTCACATCAGAAAAGAGTTATTCTTGTTACTGGATATAAAAGTTGTTTCAGTAGGCAATACTATTCATAGTAACAGGTGCATAAGTCAGTTTAAACCATGACGACAAAATTTGAGATAGAGAAATTGAGTGGGAGTAATTTCTCCCTGTGGAAATTGAAAATAAAGGCATGCTTCAGAAAAGAAATTTGCTTAGCAGCAATTGAAGGTAAGCCTGATGGTATTACCGATGATAAATGGAAGGAGATGGATAATATTGTTGTTGCTAATTTGCACTTGACATTGGCAGATTCTATCTTGTCTAGTATTGCAGAAAAGCAAACAGCAAAGGAGATATGAGATACACTCGTAAAATTATACGAGGTTAAGTCTCTTCACAACAAAATTTTCTTAAAGAGGAGACTCTACACTCTTCGAATGAGTGAATCCACATCAGTCACGGATCACATCAACAATCTCAATACACTATTTGCTCAGATGACAACCTTAGATGTCAAAATAGCAGAAAGTGAACGTGCGGAACTTCTACTTCAAAGTTTACCAGACTCGTACGATCAACTCATCATAAATATCACAAATAATATGATTTCCGACTATCTAAACTTTGATGATGTAGCCGGAGCCATTCTTGAAGAAGAATCTAGGCGCAAGAATAAGGAAGATAGATTGGAAAATTCCAAGCAAGCAGAGGCTTTAACGGTGGTGAGAGGAAGATCAATAGAGCGTGGCTCTAGTGGGAGTCAAAATCATGGTAGATCGAAATCTCGAGGAAGGAATAATTTCAAATGTTACTACTGTGGCATGAGAGGACACTTGAAGAAAGATTGTTGGAAGAAGAAAAATGCTGAGAAGTCTCTTGAGGCAACTGCATCTCAAGGATGTGTTGCTAGTACCTCCGATGATGGATAAATCTTGTATAGCGAAACAACGGTTGGTTCCAAAGGTGAAAAACAACTCACTGATGTTTGGATAATAGATTCGGGAGCAACATGGCACATGACTTCACGAAGAGATTGATTTTGCACCTATAAACCTATCTCAGAGGGATCTGTGTTCATGGGTAATGATCACACCTTGGAAATTGCTGGAATCGGTACTGTCAAATTGAAAATGTACAATGGTACTATTCGTATAATTCAAGAGATACAACATGTGAAGGACTTGAAAAAGAATTTATTGTCTATTGGACAATTGTCGGTTGCAAGACCCATATTGAAAGTGAGATCTTGAAAGTGGTGAAAGGTGCTCTAGTAGTGATGAAAACAGATAAGTTTACTGCAAACCTATACATGCTTCTGGGAGATACGTTGCAAGAGGCAGATGTATCAGTTTCATCAGCTAGTCAAGAGGAATCAACGACAATGTGACATCATAGACTAGGCCATATGTCAGAACGAGGCTTGAAGGTCCTTGCGGAACGTAAACTCTTACCTGGGCTCACATCGGTAAGTTTACCTTTCTGTGAGTACTGTGTGACAAGCAAACAACATAGATTGAAGTTTGAGAATTCAACTACTAGAAGCAAACACATACTTGACTTGATACATTCTGATATGTGGGAGTCACCGAAAATGTCTTTAGGAGGAGCTAAATATTTTGTATCATTCATTGATGATTACTCTAGGAAATTGTGGGTGTACCCAATCAAGAAGAAGTCAGATGTGTTTCCAGTTTTCAAGGAATTCAAAGCACAAGTGGAGCTTGAAACTAGGAAGAAGATTAAGTGTTTAAGAACAAACAATGGAGCAGAATATATAGATGGTGAGTTTTTAGCATTTTGCAAGCAGGAGGGTATAAGGAGGCAGTTCACGGTTGTCCATACACCTCAGCAGAATGGTGTAGCAGAGCGGATGAATAGAACTCTCCTAGAAAGGACTAGAGCTATGTTGCGAATGAAAAAATTAGCCAAATCTTTCTGGGCAGAAGCAGTAAAGACAACTTGTTACGTAATAAATCGATCACCATCAACTGTGATTGGTTTAAAGACACCTATGGAGATGTGGAAAGGAAAGCCATCAGAGTAATCTTCTCTATATGTGTTTGGATGTCTTGTGTACGTGATGTACAACTACCAAGAAAGAACAAAGTTGGATCCAAAATCCAGAAAATGCATATTCTTGGGCTATGCTGATGGAGTTAAGGGGTATCGCCTCTGGGATCCCACTGCCCGCAAGGTTATTGTCAGCAGAGACGTAATCTTTGCAGAGAATGAACTACAAAATGGACAGGTAAATGATAGCACTTCTTAAGATGTTACTACTGTACAAATAGATGGAAAGTCTAGAGAAGAAGATTCTTTAGAAGCAGAACTAGAGCATG